TGTCTATCTCAAAAGTGCACGATTTTTCGAGCTACGATTTGCTCAGGTATAGCGATCAGGACGGATTGAATAGAAACGAGAATCCAAAAGGACTGAACATCAGGCTTTTTAGGACGATAATTTTGTCGCTTAGACAATCACCAGGAGACATCTCTTGTCAATTCACCTCGTCTGAATATTTTATTTGGAAATATTGAACTTTCTGCTTTGGAAATCTAGTTTATAAGAGAGAAGGGAAGCAGAATTGTTCCTCCCCTGGACATGTGTCATAAGTTCCAACTGCAATAAAGCTGAAAGGGTGCAATTACACAAGAAACCTCCTCAATGAAAACGACTCTATCCACTCTCTAGGGGCCTGGAGACAAAATTGGAAGGCCCAAAGGATTTATCGCTAGTACACCTTAAGTCTCTGCAACTTTCCCAGACTGCTGATTTCTTATTGCCTATTTATAGATATATGGTTCTGCGAATAAAGGCTTTTCCATGCTTTCCTTCATGTTCCTTTCCGGGGTAGACTTCCCATCATATTTTGCAACGCCGATTGATGCTTTGACTGTCTATGCAGAGCAAGCACACTAATACACAGCAACTTCTACGAAATCGCCGGCTCTTTTACATTCCACTTTTCTTCCTTTTGCATTTCTGCTTCTTTTCATTTGGAAATTTCAGCACAGGGAAGCTTACTATAAGTTAGTACTTTTTGACATATGGGATCCTCTTCTCTGCCGGTGTCCGATGCTTTTTTACCCTGTTTTCCGCATTCGAACTGCTATAATAGGATTTATTTTCGGTTTGAAGTCCTTTTTAACTCCAAACTCTAGGATATATGACCACACGCTTGATTGTGAAAAGTCTTCCGGCAAATTGCACTGAAGCGAGTTTGAGATCTTTCTTCAAGAAGTATGGAACACTTAGTGACTGCACACTGAAATACACCAAGGAAGGAAAGTTTCGCAAATTCGCCTTCGTCGGCTTTGATAGCGAAGAGAATGCCAAGAAAGCTCTCAAGGAAACAGATCTTTCTTTTATGGGATCGTCTCGATTACATGTGAGTGTTAAAAAATAACGCAGGCTTGTGGCGATCCAGTAAATCACTCTGTATTAGGTGGAAGAGTGCAAACCATTTGGCGATGCAAATAAACCTCGAGCTTGGAGCCAGTACTCGAAGGATAGCAGGTATGCTATGATTTTTGCTTTCTCTTTATGATCATGTTTTTCTACCCAGGTTCTTTGTTCTTCATTTTTTCTTTTTGTGTTTTTTTTTGCTTTTCATCCTTTGGGGTTTCTTTTGTTGCTTTTCGTAACAGCACGTTGACTGTTTTTGTACTCATTTGGCATAGAAGCCCGCATCAAGATCATTCACAATAGCAGTTAGAACTCGCATCAATCTCAAAGTAGTGTGACGCTAGACAAAAGCTCAAGCGATTAGGTTACGAGCTTCTGGAGTGGTCAAGCTTGCCGTTCGTTCCTGGGTTAACCTTATAGAGATGATGATTTTTTGGTGATCAAAGAGCTCCGCCCCCATTTATATTTCTAAGCTGTTGTATATATTGATCAAAAAGCTCCTTCATTGTTGTTAGCTCAGAGGCGTCCCAGCGGAATTTTGTTTTCCAGTTTTTCACCTTTTCGGGGTTTTCTCGCCATAAGGAACGCATATCTGGGCTTGATCGCACATGAAAAGGCAAAAATGAGCCTTTTTCAAGACTTTCCAAGTC